AGACGGCAAGGTATGAACAGTCACCGGGCTGGAGCCTTGGCTAATAGTTGCCACCGGGATGTTGCCCACGGAGAACTGCTGCCCGACAGGCGCAATAGCGATGGGTGAGATGACCGTGAACTGAGGCTGCTGAATGGGGGTGGAGGGGCTGAGGACAGTGGCGGAGGCTGGGCGCTGCAGGCGGGGTCTCTTGGGGGGCTTGGGAGCGCTGACAGGCATTAGCACCACATTCTGGATGGTTTGGGACTTCGCCTTCTGGTCCTTGGCAAGTTTCTTCTGCTCTTCCAGCTGCCGCTCCAGGTCTGCAAAGAGAATGGCTAAGCAGCGCGTTGGGCTGGGGCCAGCATGCTGCAGGAGCTCCTGGGGACTCGCAGGCTCCACAACCAACCAGTACACCCCATGTTTGGGACAGGAGGCCTCCTAACCACCCAGTCATGGTCAAGATGATCATTTCACTCAAGATCAAACTGCACTGAAGGAAAAGGCAAGATTCTCCTGCCACCCACATGTTCTGCACCCACTCAGCCTGCTTTGGCTGGCTGTCAGTGCCTGGATATGGAACAGGCAATGCTCTGTATCAATTTTCTATTTCCATTATCTTCCCACTGACAAGAAGATGGGCATTTCTGCTCCCCAAGTTAGACCCACCTACAAGAGAGAGTGGACAAGCCCCTCCAGGCAGTAGGAACTCCCCAGGAGCCAAGCACTGGTACTGGAGACAGGGAGCAGGACTGCTTGGGTCAATGAAATATCTCCCTCAACCCTTGTCTGTGTGAACATTGGAAGTCAGAAGCAGCACAGTAATCTCATTTATCCAGGGCAGTAGGGGACTAGGACATCCCAGATAAGAACAGGTCCTACAGGACACAGTGAGGAGGGAGACACATGCAGCAGGTGGCTCTGGGGAATCCAGGTCAGGTTACTGACAGGGCTTTAAACTAGGCTTGAAGAGGGAAGGGGATAATATCAGGCTTACCTGTGACAAGCTGTGGGATGACATGCCAAGGTTAGAGGGACGGGGTGCTAGCGAGGGCCCTCAGCCTGTTGCTCTGAGACGTGCTGGCTACACTGCAGCACACCTGAAGTCTTACGGAGATAAGCCAGGGGCTCCCGAGGTTATAGGAGCCAACAGAGAAACACCAGTGAAATACATCAAAGGAATTAAGGGGTCTTCCTCTAAGGTGACATGGCCAACAGTCCATCTGAAGTGTCTCTACACCAGTGCACACAGCATGGGCAACAAACAGGAGGAGCTGGAAGCCACTGTGCTTCTAGAAAGCTACAACCTGGTTGCCTTTACTGAAACTTGATGGGATGAATCCCACGACTGGAGTGCAGCTATCCATGGCTACAGGCTGTTCAGAAGGGACAGTTGAGGAAGGAGGGGTGGAGATGTTGCCCTCTATGTCAAGAAATGGATGGAGTGTGGAGAGCTGTCTCTGAGGAATGGCCATGAGCAGGTCAAAAGTTTATGGGTAAGAATCAGGGACCATGGCAACAAAGGGAACCTTGTGGTTGGAGTCTACTACAGGCCACCTGATCAATAGGAGCCTATTGATGAAGCCTTCTCACTCCAGCTACAGGAGGCATCGTGCTTGCAGGCTCTCGTCCTGCTGGGGGACTTCAACCACCCTGACAGCTGCTGGAAAAGTAGCATGGCGAGCGGTAGGTAATCCAGGAGACTCCTCGGGTGCATGGAGGAGAACTTCCTGTGCTAGGTAATAGACAGCCCTACCAGAGGGGATGCCATACAGGACCTGTTGGTCACCAACATGCGTGAGCTAATCGGTGACATCAAGACTGGAGACAGCCTGGGCTGCAGTGATCATGCACTGGTGGATTTTGCAGACCTGAGGGATATGGGGCAGGTGAAGAGTAAAGTCAGGATCCTGAATTTTAGGAAAGCGAAATTCCAGCTCTTCAGGGAGTTGGTCAATAGGACCTCCTGGGAAACTGCCCTCAGGGACAAGGGAGTAGAAGAGAGCTGGAAGATCTTTAAGGATATTTTCCATGGAGTGGAAGAGCTCTCAATCCCCAGGTGTAAGAAATTGGGAAAGGAAGGCAAGAGGCCAGCATGGCTGAGTGGAGACCCGATGGGCAAACTAAAGGGCAAGAAGGAAATGCACAGGCAGGGGAAGCAGGGACAGGTACCCTGGGATGAGTACAGGGATGCTGCCCAGTTGTGGTACAGGTATGTCAGCCAGAAAAGGAAGGTCAAAGAAAGCGTACCCGCCCTGATGAGCAAGACTGGCAGATTAGTAACAACGGATGAGGAGAAGGCTGAGGTACTCAACGATCCAGTCTTCACTGGCTATCTCTCTTCCCACACCTCTCAAGGGGATGGCCTTGAGATAGGGACTGGAGGAGCAAAGTCCCTCCCACTGTAAGAGGAGATCAGGTTCAAGACCACCTGAGGAACCTGAACATGCATAAGTCTCTGGGACCTGACGAGATGCATCCCAGAGTCCTGATGGAATTGGCTGATGCAGTTGCCAAACCACCCTCCATGATATTTGAAAAGTCCAGGCAGTCAGCTGAAGTCCCTGGAGACTGGAAAAAGGGAAACATTGCACCCATTTTTAAAAAGGGTAGTAAGGAGGACCCGAACGGTCTCAAGTTGCGCCAGGGGAGGTTTAGATTGGATATTAGGAAAAATTTCTTCACCGAGAGAGTGGTCAGGCATTGGAACAGGCTACCCAGGGAGGTGGTGGAGTTGCCATCTCTGGAAGCGTTCAAAAAACGTGTGGATGTGGCACTTCACGCCATGGTTTAGGGGACATGGTGGCGCTGGATTAATGGTTGGACTTGATGATCTTGAAGGTCCTTTCCAACCTAGTGATTCTGTGACCCGTCAGCCTCACCTCTGTGCCTGGGAAGACCATGGAGCAGATCCTCCTAGAAGCTATGCTAAGGCACATGGAGGACAGGGAGGTGATTCGAGACACACAGCATGGCTTCACCAGGGGCAAGTCCTGCCTGACCATCCTAGTGGCCTTCTATGATGGAGTGACCACATCAGTGGACAAGGGAAGATCTACCAATGTCGTCCATCTGGACTTCTGTAAGGCCTTTGACACAGCCCCCCACAACATCCTTCTCTCTAAATTGGAGAGATATGGATTTGATGGGTGGACTGTTGGGTTGATGAAGAATTGGTTGGATGGTTGCACCCATACTGTAGTGGTCAATGGCTCAATGTCCAGTTGGAGATCAGTGACGAGCGGTGTCCCTTAGGGGTCCACACTGGGACCAGTACTCTTTAATATCTTCATCAATGACACAGACAGTGGGATCGAGTGCAGCCTCAGCAAGTTCGCAGATGACACCAAGCTGAGTGGTGCGGTTGACACGCCTGAGGGACAGGATGCCATCCAGAGGGACCTGGGCAAGCTCAAGAAATGGGCCCGTGTGAACCTCATGAGGTTCAACAAGGTCAAGTGCAGGATCCTGCACCTGGGTTGGGGCAACCCCCAGTTCCTGTGAGGACAGGCTGAGAGAGTTGGGGTTGTTCAGCCTGGAGAAGAGAAGGCTTCGGGGAGACCTTATCGCAGCCTTCCAGTACTTAAAGGGGTCTTATAGGAAAGATGGGACAGACTTTTTAGCAGGGCCTGTAGCAACAGGACAAGGGGTAATGGTTTTAAACTAAAAGAGGGGAGATTCAGACTAGGTCTACGGAATAATTTTTTTTTACAATGAAGGTGGTGAAACCCTGGCCCAGGTTGCCCAGAGAAGTGGTAGATGCCCCATCCCTGGAAACTTTCCAGGTCAGGTTGGACAGGGCTCTGAGCACTTATTGCAGGGGGGTTGGACTAGATGGCCTTGAAAGGTCCCTTCCAAACCTAACCATTCTATGTGTTTATGATTCTACCATTAGCTTCAGCTCAGGGGAAGCTGTGCAAGACACGTGACAACTCCACGCCAAGACAAGCAGACAACTCAGCATCCTGTACATGGAGAAGCTTATTAGCTCGGGCACAGCACGGCACTGCCTGCAGCTCAGATGACTGCCACACAGCCCTTAGTTAGCAGCACCTATTTCCTATTGCCAATGGAATCGGACTCGTACCCCCAGCACCCTGCTGCAGCAAAGGGCTGTTGAATGCCCCAAGCGACGGCCGACTGCGAGGCAAGGGAGAGGGGAAACCACGCAAGCCCTACGATGGAAAGGGATTGGGGTGCATTTGTTTCAGGGCAGCATGTATTGAACAATAACCCAAATATGGTTCATTGGGGGTTATGTCGAAGGAAAGTCACATCAGCTCCCAAAAGCAGCAGCAGGATGAGAAGCCTTACTAGGCACTGACTGTACCTGCCAGCGTGTAAAGGAACTGTTCCTCTCCTTGCTCCGTCTGGTTTTTCCTGTTGTCCAGAACCTTCTTGACTGTGTCCATTAGGCCAAATGTGTGGGCAACATTGTTCAAGACTGCAGCATCTGCAAGGATCGAGTCCCATAGGTGGGACTCAGTCAGGTACTCAAAAGATGCTCGTATTATGCCAAAAATTTTCTGCTGCTTTAACTATCTCTGTTCTTCCCCAAGGGCTGGCTGACAAGGGGCAGATCCAGCTCCCTCATCCTTCCGACATCCCAGGACTAAATAATCCCATTCACATGATAAAGAAAATGAAACAGAGATGTGTCACCCAAGCAGCTCAAAATTGCTGCAAATGAAAGCATAATTTGCAATCACAGAGATACAAACAAGCTCTCCACCTACAAATCATCACCCCATGCTGCTGACAGCGTCATTAACATGCCAGCTTCACTGAAAGCTGTGCAAAATTTCTATTATAATCCACTGACTTCAATCACTCACAGCTTCCAAAAGCTGCCACCTACCAGACACAAAGATCTGCCAGCCCAAAGCTAAATTAGAAAATTAAAAAAAATAAATATCCTGGGTAAAATGAAGTTTGTGGCTACATGGATGTTCTCTCAGTGAGAGCATCAACAAGAGGTGCTCTCAAACCCCATGTTCACAGGGGCATGTGCTGAACTGGATTAGGGAACTGATCCAAGTTAAAAATAACCCTAAAGAGGGGAGGGGAGTTATTTTTAACCCAGATCAGTTCCCACATCTGGTTCAGCCCCAAAAACAGGTTTTGTGGCACAAGCGAAGACAGAATGAGAAGTGAGGGGGCAGGACCTGTTTAAGCCTGCACTGTCACAGAGAAAAGTGTTTGAATAACTCAGTCTGAGAAGTGAATCGGAGCAGGCTTTCATGAGGGCTGGGAGCTAAGGAGCGTGGCCCAATGGTCTCAGCAAGCTGCCAGAGCTATTTTGCCCAGGAAACAGGGTGGCATGTTGTGCCCTGGTGCCTTGAAGCGAATGCACTTCACAGTTGGGCAGGCTGAGCCCACACCCAGTCACAGCTCCCACAGCTCAGCTAATGAGCAGTAACTTGCTCACCATCCTGACTCAACAGTTTTAAATGGTGGCGATGGACTCTTGTCACTTTTTTTTGCCTGCAGCTGCCCTTTTGAGCATCCTTCCCCACCGCAGAGCCAGAGGCTGTGGCCCACAACCTACCCGTCATCTGGAAGGGAGACTGACCCAACCTCTGCTGGACACCTCTTAGGACTTCTTCTATCTCCTTCTGGATGTTGCACACAACCTCTTCCATCAGCCCCACATCAGCTATTCCTTTCCAGAACATCAGCGTATCCTCTGGCACAAGGAAAGGGAAAAAGAAGTCAACATGTACAAGCATTTGGCATTTTTCCCACAAGGCTACCTTAAACCTTTCAGGCAAGAGTAACTTTGCAAGACAACTTCTAATTTGGCCTTTGGGGTGGATATGACATGCAAAAAAAAAAAACCCAGAAGAAGCAAAACAGATCCAGGCAGCAAATCAGTAACATGTTTTCAAGCAGCACCATGACTTCCAAGGCAACATTTCATTGCCTCTGTTCATCTTCACAAGATACAGAGCTTGAATTCTTTGTTTGAGGAAATTCTGCCTAAGCTTCCGTACTGATCCTAAGAGGGAATGCAAGGCACTGCAGCCAGAGAGACACAGCCAAGACAGCTGACAGGGTACTAACAAGACACTGCTGACTGATGGTTTCAGTCTTGCTCCAGCCTGGCAGCTGTTTACATCCTCAGAATGAACAACAATGAAAAAAAAGCCCCTCACTGTAACCAGCAGCAGCTGATCTGGGGGATCATCCACCAGCCACAACGCCAGGGCTGTAGCCCCCCTCTGCCTGCAGCGGTGAGGAGCTCTGTTTGGCAGGGGCCCCGCACGCCTGGGAAATGCTCAGATAGCCTAGGGGCTTGGGGACAGCTCTGTCATTGCCTAAACTCTCCTTATTTTCAGGATTTCAGTCTCCAGAAATGTAACAGGTGAGGAAAGGGGAAGAAAAACCCAACAAGCAGCCTGAGCTTACCCGAAATCTCATCTGTATCCTTTTTCATGCCTTCCTCAGTGGCCATGGTGACGGCAGCCGTCAGAGCCGAGTTCCACTCGATCCCCTCCTCCATGCTCTCCTCCGACAGCGCAATCTGGGTGATGCTCCCTGCCAGAGAGGCAACGTCAGCTCCCTCTGTGGCACCCGGAGTGGCAGCCCTGAATCCCTGCTTTACTTTCCACCCCGCTTACACCTCCCAGACTCTTTTACACTCTTGTGGTCAGGTTGTTTGTGCCTGGCTTCTCTTAACCAAATTAGCTAAAAGCAAATATTGCTGCTTCTCATTGGAACTGTGATTGTGAAAGGCTCTGGGGCTTCTGGAGGGAAAACCACATGCCCTCCAAAAAGCAAACTGGAGTCCTGGCATAAAATGAGCAGGAAGGGATCAGAATAAAGAAGGGAACAAATAAGCCTCAGCTCAGCCACCCTTCTTGCATCATCAACAGAGAGCTCTGCACCCCACAGATGCCATAATCTCTCAGGAAATGACAGGGTCAGGGTCCAAGCTGGTTTATAGAAGGGAAACAGATCTGACTCAGTTGTAAATTTCTAGATCAAATTTGAGACTAAGCCAATTTGCAACCACTCTAAGGTTTTACCATGTCCCTTCCAGGAGATTCTACTCAGCCTATGGACAACTCTGCCATCTCAGCCACCCAGGGCCTTAGAGAAATTTAATCCGCCCAGCTGAACCGATGCGGTACAGTTGGGAGTAGTCTTCTCCCCTAACCTCAGCAAAGAGATCACTTTCCGCTCTGAAGCACAGGATTTGCTGAGAATTTGCAGTTGGAATGGCAATCAAATCACATCCAGCTATCATACCCCGTTCATGGATGCTCAGGTGACGTGGAACAGGCTGCTCTGGAGGAGGTCAGCATCCCTAAATTAATTCCTGAGCGTTAGCCCATCTCCTGCCTTTGTAATAGACCATGAAATAGGAGAGACATCAGAAAACACTACGCGAGCTCTCTCAGGTGTTTGCTCACATGGTGATCCCGGAACAGGGATCCCTTCAAGGTGAGCCTCCCCTGGCTCCCAAGGCTGCCCCTAGTCACCACTTAATACTGGCTGCTTTCCAGCCCTCGCATTACCGCAGAGCAGAGCTCCCTGCCAGATGCTGCCGAGACCTCTCTGAGCGGACATGAGAAGCATTTTCCTTCTGAGAAACCAGAGCAGTCTCCTGAACGGTGGGACTGCCCTGCTACACCTGGGGAGAAGGTGTAAAGTGTGTGTGTGGCCACCCTGATTTGATTAGTCCAGAGAGGGAGAGGAATGTCAGAGGGAAGCTCCTGTGGCATTGCTAACTGCTTTCCTACCGTCAGCTGATGTAGGAGTCTGCACCACACTCTGCTGCCCTGGCACCGGTGCCCTGGCGCTGCTGATCAGGAGATCAAACTTGGTGCTTCGACAGGTGTTGGTGCAGACTTTGTCGTGTTGGTAGAAGTCGATTTGCCCCGAGTCCATCATCTTCCTGTGCAGGGAGTGGGGAAGAGAACCAGGCTCAGCTCAAATCTGAGCCGGGACACAAAAGGGAGTATTCCACGTAGGAATGCTACAGCCATGGGAAAGATGGCAAAAGGGAGACCCAGCACCACTCTGCACACAAAACATCTCTTGCAGGGCTTTCAAATGGCAAGTACAAGGTATCCCCCAGCTTCACATACAGAGCTCCAGTCCTGTTCCACCCCCACCAAGTACCAGGTCCCCCAGGAGACCACTTCTGTACAGGATGGGGAATCCTGCCCCTCACACCACGGGGCCAGGATCTCTACAGGCTGCTGGCCAGGTAATGTGAACCTCCAAGAGATCTCCTGGGGACTGCAAAGCAGACAAAACACCTGCTTGGGACCCTGCAGCAGCAGTGATGAAGCCCTGAAGCTGGACACAGTGGTAGGCAGGTCAAATACCTCAGCATGATTCCTCCGAGGCGAATGGCTCTCTTCCAGTCCTTTAGGGTAGACTTCCCAGCCAGGTGAACAAAATGCTTCGGGCTGATCAGTTGGTCATTGAACTGACGACGAGATAAACAAAGGCTCAGCAAACACATGGTAACATCGCTTCGGAAGACCTTATTGGAACATCCAACACAGCCAGTCCACAGCTCATCTACGTCCCCACTTCAACCCAGAAAGCGGAGCTGCTTCTCAAATCCCTACCAGCTTTGGCACAGCAATGCTTGTAACTCCAGAATGGATATGTTTGCAGGGATGACCTGCCAACCATCGGCATCTCAACCACACAGCTCTAGCCAAGAACAGCCCTGAAGGCTTTCTTTTGAAGCATGAACCAAATTCGCTCCTTCTGTGAACATGTACAGTCATCTCAGAGATCATTATGGCAGACTCCTGTTACGTGATTCTATGCTTTTATGTTGCAACATCAACTAGCCGAGCAACATCTAGCTGACACAGGTATTCACTCGGGCATCTGTTCTGTCCTGCTCCAGTGACTAAGATAGTTCCTGTTGAGGGTCAGCAACAGAGCACTCTCGCCACAGCAGCACACGGGGGCTCAGCCTCAGCGCATCAGCTCTTACATTAGCACGCTCTCAAGTGGAAAAAGGGAACGGCAATATTTCTCTTCTTGATGCAACCTGCTCACCGAGGAAGTGACAGGTGGAAAGAGACAAGGAAGAAAAGCTCTGGCAGATCTCAGTACGCATCACCTGCCTGCCTTAAGCTCCAAGTCCCTTCTCAAGTGCTAAATATGACTCTGAAATAGAAGGGTAGGTGATAGGCCCTCGCTCCTTAACCCAATCTTCCTCTGCTTCTCCCCATGCTAAAAACGTCAGCACTAACAACCCAGCACACTGCACAGGCAAAGTCACTCGGCTCCAGGACAAGGCTCAGGTGAAAGGCAAAAAGTGAGGAAGTCCTGTGGAGGTCAAGCACCAGACCTCGGGAGCAGAGAAGGAATCCGCTGTGGAAACTCCCTTACCTTTACACACTTGACATTAATTCCCGGACAGACAAACTTCTTCCAGAGCAGGATGGCTTTGCTCTCCCCGCAGGTGATAGGATAGGCGATCTCAATTTCCTCGTTCGTTTCTATGGTGCTGGGGTCTGAGGGAGGAAGGAGTGAAAATGAAACCTTCCACCCAAGAAACTCAAATCCCACAAGGCGGGAGCTGAAAGCTCACAGGCTGCGAAAGCTGCATGCAGTAAACCAAAAGAAGGGCCGATCCCAGTTCAGGATCACCTCTCTCTTAGTATTCTCCAATTACTAGTTCCAACAACAATTGGCATCTGCTTTTTAATATAGCAACACTCAAAATGAAGCTCATCTATCAGGAGAACATGAGATACCAGAAATCCAACACATCTGTAAGGCAAGGGTCAATGAGAACAATATTTGTGGAAACAAAATGCTTTAAGATTTGAAGTGCAGGTATCTCTCAGATTTCTTGGAGTTCTGGTATCTGTTTAGCAGCAATGTCAGATATTTACTGATAATATATTCTCTTCACACACAAAGCTCCTGCTAATACGGCTAAAAGACCCACACAAGAAGCAGAACACTAGTCAAGATCTAGTGACAGCACCTCATGACAGGAGACTTTTCCCACATACTCCTCAGGATGGCAGGGAGCACTTGGAGCCAACCTGCTTGGTTCTTCAACCCAAACTGTCAGGCTGTTCGTTCAGCAAAGAGCCAGCAATCAGAGTCTGATGCTTTAGCCAGCACAGACACAACGACCATCCTCATAACCATCATTCCTGCCTGCTAGTATCTGCACACCAAGACTAGGGTGAAATCTCGGCTCCCCTGGACCCCATGGGAGCCCTTACCATTCCTTGCAGGAGAAACAGGATCTCAGTTCCAGGACTTTGAGACCAAGCAGTAACAGCAGACTCTTATTCCAGACTATGCCCAGACCCTGCACCCACATCCATGTCTGGGAAACAGCATCTGCAGGGGCAGAGCCAGAAGGAAGCCCAGCGAACCGGAGATACCAGCTCAGTGGCGACCAGCCCTGCAGAGGAGGGGATTCTGCCCACGCCAAGCGGGAACTCACCGATCCCTTCTTCTAGCTTGTGGATGGGGTGGGGTTCGACAGTATGTTGTGTTGTGGTGGGTGTGGTTTCCCCCAGCCACTACGGCGGCACTGGCCTCAGAGCCCTCTTGGTAAATCCTGTTGTGAAAGTTGCCATCCGTAAACAAACTATATAAATCACGGGAAATTAAGATTCACAGCATGGGGTTAAAAATTCAGTTCGTTTCTCTCTTGCCTGTCCTCGAGCAAACGTGGATTTCGTTTGATATAGTTTCAATCGCAAGCATTTTTTGGCACATACAAAATACAATAATAATCCCAAGTACTGAAACACGCAGAGGCATTCCCAGTCCTGTCATCGCACCCTCCATGTTGCCAGCACCACTGAAGCAGCTCTGCAGTGCACTTCCCTGTGTGTTCTCCTCTGGCTTCTGCTACAGGCAGCTACCCACGGCAGCAGGAAGCAGAGCTCAAAGCCCCAGGATTTCCCTTCCAGCCCTGTGTCACACTGCAGCACGGGTGATCACGCAGGGAAGAGTCACTGTCAGGCCTACAGTCACCCTGCTCTGCAAATATGAGCAAACTGGAGCCAGTATATTTACGTCCTGATTGATCCAGAGTTAAGACGAAGTGCCTGGTGGCAGCCACTTCCCTGCAGCAGCTGCCATGGGTACCACAAAATTCCCTCCAACATGCCAGCTTCATTGCATTTTAGAGGAGGATGATTTTAGGGGAAAGCTGGCACAGAAGCATAGGTGGATCCAGACACATGGGCACAGACACCACGTACTGCAGCTGCAGTGTGGCAAAAACCCACCCTGGGGCCGGAGAGAGAAAAGGGAGACTGGGAAGATGCATGGCCAGGGCAGCACTACGACCACCTCAGCGTTTCCCCGCTGCCACAGCCATCGCTGGGCTGCCGCGATTCAGAGATAGCATTGCGCGGACACGTCCCCGCAGGACAATTTCAGTCCTCGGAGGCCCCGCGACAGCGACACACACAAAAGCTTTTTTGCATTGTATTTTTCTCTCTACTGTGCGTGGCATAAAACCAACGCAGACCTGGAAAACGCAGCGACGCTCGATCCCCACACCACAAAAATCTACAGGGGACCCCCCCATCTCACCCCGCACCTCCCAGACACACCAGTACCATCCAACTCACCCTTGCTGCACCGGCTGGAGCTGCAAGATCACTTGGGTTTTGGTATCCTCCGGGTTCTCCCCTTCGTTTCCGTCACTTGGTACAACCACCACATCACCCACAGGGACGCTCACTTCGGCATTCGCCATCTCTCACATGAAGCCCGGCGGTAGCGGGGTGCCGTGGTGCTGCAGAGGGCAAAGCAGAGGCAGGTCTGTACCGCGGCTTTTAGGGAGAGGGGCAGGCAGCGGTGTGTGTAAGCATGATTGCCCAGTCCCGCCGCGGCAAAGGCCGGGCTAGCAGGGACCGCGGGGCTGCCAGAGCAAAGCCCTGGCTCCGAGGAAGGGACCAGGTGTTTTAAATTCACCACCAGACAGAGACGGCAAGTGCCTGTCAACACACATGAGGATTTTTCCTCCCCTGCCGATCCCGATAGCTGGGAACATCTCATCTGACGACACCAAACCAACAGAGGCCGACCCCCCAGTGCCATCCCACTCATAACTTCCAGAGCCGGCAGCAGCCAACGGCTTTCCCTGGCCCCGCAGCCTGGTGCCAACCAAGCAAACTCCCCAGCTGGCATCGCTTCCAGCTGCCCTCGGGATGCTCTGATCCCTCGCTACCGGGAACATGCCTGGA